ATCGATCGATCGACAAACCGAATCGGCCAGTGCATTGCCAGTGGGAAGGACTTGCGGCTATTCTGGGGGCAGCTAGCTAGCTAGCTAGCCACCTGTCTACCTAGCTAGCTTGCTGGCTAGCTAGCTAGCTAGCCAGCAAGCCGCTTGATTTACGGCCAGTGAACTGCCAGTGAGGAAGGACTTGGGGATACTCTAGGGGCAGCTAGCTAGCCAGCTAGCTAGCCAGCTAGCTACCTAGCTAGCTAGCCAGCTCGCTAGCCAGCTAGCTAGCCAGCTAGCTAGCTAGCTGTTTGACTCACGGCCAGTGAACTGCCAGTGGGGAAGAACTTCGGGGTAGTCCAGGGGCAGTTAGCTAGCTAGCTAAATAACTACCCACCTACCTAGCTAGCTAGCTAGCTAGCTAGCCAGCTAGCTAGCCAGCTAGCCAGCTAGCTAGCTAGCTAGCTAGCTAGCTAGCTGCCTGACTTACGGCCAGTGAACTGCCAGTGGGGAAGAACTTCGGGATAGTCTGGAGGCAATAGTCGGGAGGCAAAGAAAACTTGAGTTGGACTTTGGCTTTGTTGAGAGGATCTGCTGCTGGGCGTTGGCCGAAAGGCAGCAGCTGCAGCAAGCAGCAGCAGCAGCAGCAAGGCAGCAGCTGGAACTCGCCGGGGTGCGGCAGCAGCGCAGCAAGCGCCTCCATCTCCTCCGCCTGCTCCGCAGCAAACCTGCTGCTGCTGCTGCTGCTGCTGCAGCAGCTGCTGCTGCTGCTGCTGCTGCTCGGCGTGCTCATTGCGCTGCGAGCTTCGGGTGTACAGGCAGCTCTGCTGCTCGGGTGTATAGGCAGCTCCGGAGAAGCTCCGGTGTACAGACACTGCAGCTCGGGAGAAAAAGATGACTCAAAAGCACCCACAGCAGCAGCTGCTGCTGCACGCAAACATGCTGCTGCTGCTGCTGCTGCTGCTGCTGCTGCTGCTGCTCTTGTTTTTTTGGACCTTGGGTCTTCCAGAGACTTGTGGAGAAATAAAAGAAGCAAAGAAGACAGAGGCAGCAGCAAAAGCAGTAACAGCAGCAGCAGCAGCTTCTGCTGCTTGCTGTGCGGTTGCTGCTGCTGCTGCGGTGTACAGACAGCTCTGCTGCGCAAAAGAACAGCAGCAAAAGCCTTTTGCTGCTGCTGTCTCAGTTGCTGCTGCGGGCCCAGCTGGCGCCTCCCCGGGGCTTTGCTGCTCCTTTTTAATCCAAAAACAATTTAATTAATTCAAATTTATCTTTTTATTTCTAAAAAGAAAAGAAAGGCAGCAAAGAATGCACAAACTGCAGCGCGGGGCTGCAGGGGCCCCCAGTGGGGCCCCCACACCTGCTGCTGCGGCTGCTGCTCGAGTGTACGTACACCCCGACGCCCTAACTCGAATTTAATTAATTAATTTAATTCAAATTTAAATTTTATTTATTTTTGTTTTAAATAAAACAGACCCGCAGCAGCTGCCCCGGAGACTCGCGAAAGATCGGCAGCAAAACGGAATGTGTGTCTTCGACGCCCACTCCAGCAGCAGAAGCAGCAGCTCAGCAGCAGCAGCAGCAGCAGCAGCAGCAGATCTAGCAGCCTAGCATCTGCAGTAGCCGCTGCTGCTGCTGCTGCAGCAGCGGGACTTCAGTGGCACCTGGCAGGAAGGGCTGTGGCGCCCATTAATGCATGCGAGACTGCAGCAACAGCAGCAGCAGCAGCAGCAGCAGCAACGGAAGCCGAACCAGCAGCAGCAGCAGCAGCAGAAGCAAGGACCAGTGGCTCTTGCTGCTGTCTGAAGGAGCCTGCAGTGGGCCCTCTTAGGGCCCCTTTTGCTGCAGCTGCAAACAATGGCGACCGAGGAAAGCAGCAGCAGCAGCAGCAACACCAGCAGCAACAGCAGCAGCAGCAAGAGCATCAGCAGCAGCAGCAAACGAGAAGCCACGGCCATGCCTCAGGCTGCTGCAGAGCTGCCTGCTGCTGCGGGGGCCCCAACTAAGAACAGGGGGCCCCCCTGTGGGGCCCCCGGGCTGCTGGGTTTGAATGACAAGCTGCTGCTGCTGCTGCTGCAGTGGCTGCCGCTGCGGGAGCAGCACCAGCTGCTGCTGCTGTGCCGCGGGGTGTACAGACAGCTCTGCACTGCCCCCTTCATCCGCAGCCTTTGCTGCCCCCCAGGCAGCAGCTTCCGGCTGCTGGTGGCGCCCCACAAGCACCACCCGCTGCTGCAGCAGCAGCAGCAGCTGCAGCAGCAGCAGCAGCAGCACCTGCAGCAGCTCAAGACCCAACTCGAGCAGCAGTACCCGCTGCCCCAGCAGCAGCACCCCACCCTCTCGCAGCAGCAACACGAAGCGAACCTGCAGCAGCAGCAGCAGCAGCAGCAGCAAGTTCAGCAGCAGCAGCAGCAAGTGCAGCAGCAGCAGCAGCAGGACGACAGACTGCTCTGCAAGCGAATTCTGAGTGAGAAGCATCAGCAGGAAGACACGAGCAGCAAAAAGAAGAGGGACGACACTGCTGCTGCTGCTGCTGCTGTTGCTGCTGCTGCTGCCTCTAAGCCTTGTGCGTCACCTTCTGAAGAGCCAGGAGTGGCAGCAGCCTGTGAGGGCAGCAGCAGCAGCAGCAGCAGCAGCTGCAGCAGCAGCAGCAGCATCCGTTTCGCTGCAGTTGCAGCAGCAAACGGGACGACTGCTGCTGGCGCTGCAGCAGAGGCCGCACAGAAGCAGCAGCAGCACGGCGGCCCGCAGCAGCGGCTGCTGCAGCAGCACGACCCTCCCCCCGCGCAGCAGCAGCAGCAACAGCAGCAGCAGCAGCAGGAGGACGTGGCGGTTGAGGTGTACGTACAGCAGTGCCCGCTGCTGTCTCGCTTTCTTAAGTGCTGCTCTGTAGACATTTCTGTTGCTTCTCATCTGCAGCCAACGCCTTTGCTGCTGCTGCTGCTGCTGTGCTGCGCAAAGTCGCTGCGGAGGCTTTGTGTCAGTGGCTTCGACGAGGGCAGCTTCAGGTTCCGCAGAAGGCTGCAGCAGCAGCAGCAGCAGCAGCAGCAGCAGCAGCAGCAGCAGCAGCAGCAGCAGGGGGCGGCAGCGGGCGCTGCTGCCGGCGCTGCAGCCCCCACAGGGAGTGCGCCCAACAGCAGCAGCAGCAGCAACGGCAGCTGCAGCAGCAGCAGCAACGGCACCTGCAGCAGCAGCAGCAACGGCACCTGCAGCAGCAGCAGCAGCAGCAGCAGCAGCAGCAGCGCTGCATGCGACGCTGCAGCAAGCTTGCCTGCGCACTGGCGGTCCACGCGGCTGTGGATCCCAGCAGCAGCAATGGAGGCGCTGCTGCTGCGCTGCAGCAGCAAACTGCAGCAGCTGCTGCTGGACCTTTCGCTGCGCAGGGGCTTTGGAGTTTCTCCTTTTACTCAAATTAATTTAAACTTCAAATTTGCTGCTCTCAAGGAAATGCAGCTCGTCAACATCACCCGAGACAACTTCAGGTCAGCTGCTGCTGCTGCTGCTGCTGCTGCTGCTGCTGCTGCTGCTGCTGCTGCTGCTGCTGGGGCTGCTGCGTGCGGCGGCGGCTGCTGGTGGCGCTGTTTGCTGCTGCTGCGTTGCCGTGCTCGTTTTATGAAGCTGTTGCTGCTGCCGCTGCCGCTGCTGCTGCCAGTGCTGCATTTGCTGCTGCTGCTGCTGCTGCTGCTGCTGCTGCTGCTGCTAGCGCAGTGCCCTTTGCTTCCCGTAAAAGCACACTCACCAAGCATTTAGCTAGCTGCACAGCTAGCTGTGCCCAGGCGGCTAGCTAGCTAGCTAACTAGCTAGCCAACTAGCTAGCTAGCTAGCTAGCTAGCTGCCCAACCAACCAACTAGCTAGCTAGCTGGCTAGGCAGCTAGCTAGCTAGCTATACAGTTAGGTAGCTAGCTAGCTAGGCAGCTAGCTAGCTAGCTAGCCAGCCAGCCGGCTAGCCAGCTAGCTAGCTAGCTGCGCAGTTGGAACAGCTAGCTAGCTAGCTAGCTAGCTAGCCAGCTAGATGCTGCTGGCTGCTGCTGCGCTGCAGGTGTGGGGAGTGCAGCTTTCCCAACTTGGAAGTGCTGCGGCTGCACTGGGCCGACGTTTGCCCCACGCAGCACAAACTCGGGTATGCAGCACAGCAGCAGCAGCAGCTGCTGCAGCAGCAGCAGCAGCAGCAGCTGGCGCCTCAGCAGCAAAGCTGGCAGGCTCAATCCTAGCGCCTTGTCCGGCGTTTGAATTTAGACGCAACAGCGGCAGCAGCAGCAGCAGGAGTGGCCCTGGCGCACGAGCTGCTGCTGCTGCTGCTGCTGCTGCAGCTGCTGCAGCAGCAGCAGCGCGCGAAATGCTGCTGCGTGTTGCTGCTGCGCTGCTGCAGGCTGCTGCTGCGGGGCTGCACCGCTCTGCGGTCTTTGTCTGTTCACGCGGACTGCGACGACGACGAAGCACTGGTGCAGACCACTGGTCTATTTGCTGCTGCACTGCAGCAGCTGCTGCAGCACGAGCCGCAGCAGCAGCAGCAGCAGCAGCAAGTCACGGAGGCGGGGCCGCCTATCGGCTTGATGACCGACGCCGCAGCAGAAGCAGCAGCAGTTGCTGCTGCTGCTGCTGCGGAGGAACGGGGGATCTGTCCGCTCCCGCTGCTGCAGCAGCTGCAGCTGCCGCTGCTGGCAGCAGCAACAGTCCCGCTGCTGCGTGCTGCAGCACCAAATCTGCAGCTGCTGCGGCTGGTGCATGCAGAAAGTCACAGGTGCAGCGCAGCAGCAGCTTAGCTTCCTAAACCCTAAACCCTAATTCTCCTCTCAACTGCGTTTCTGCAAACCCTAAAAAAGGGTTTGTCTGTGAGCGCGCCTCTTTAGCTCGAGGGGAGCGGATCCGTGCTGCTGCTGCTGCTGCTGCTGCGCTGCCGCATGCAGCGGCTGTGTCTTGCTTAACTCCCGCTTTTCCCTGCTGCTGCTGCTGCTGCTGCTGCTGCTCAGGACAAGTCGGGGTTTGCTGCCGCTGCAGCTTGCAGCGCAGCAGCTGCAGCAGCTGCAGCAAATTGTGTTCCCTACTCCTGTTGACTTCGCTTTGGTGGGAACGCTACCCAGAGGGCCTGCTGCTGCTGCTGCTGCTGCTGCTGCTGCTGACGAGAGCCCTGGTGCTGCGCTGCACACTGCAGCAGCACAAGCAGCAGCAGCAACAGCAGCAGCTGCAGCAGGCACTGCAGCAGAAGGAGTCTTGCTCTTGCAAGGCCCCCCCTCGGACTTCTTTATCCGCTGCAGATAAGCGGGAGAGCAGCAGTTACTGTGCTGCTGCAGCAGCTGCAGCAGCTGCAGCAGCAGCAGCAGCAGATGGGATGCTGCAGCAGCAGCAATGGCGCCAAAAGGCTTTTGTCTACAATCGAAGCTGCACTGAAATGCAGCAGCAAAGATGTACCGCTTTTATGGCTTTTTTCTTTTCATTGGAGGCCTAGTGTTAAGAGCTTAGGGTTTAGGGTTTAGGGTTTAGGGTTTAGGGTTTAGGGTTTGGGGTTTAGGGCAAAGTTCAGGGGTTTGGTCTAGCAGCAAGTAGTAGACAAGACACTGTAGAAATCTCGAGTGCAGCAGCAGCTGCTGCTGCACTCGAGCAGCAGCTGCTGCCGCAGCAGCAACAGCAGCTGTTGCAGCAGGAGCAACAGCAGTTGCTGCGGCGGCAAGAACCGCAGCAGCTGCTGCTGCTGCAGCGTGCATGCATGAAGCAGCAAAAGGGTAGGGAGCCCGAGTGCAGCTTTTTGCAGTGTCTCGACAGCATGAGGGGCCGCTGCAGCAGCAGCAAAAAGTCTTCAGCAGCAGCAAAAAGTCTTCAGCAGCAGCAAAAAGTCTTCAGCAGCAGCAAAAAGTCTTCAGCAGCAGCAGAAAGTCTTCAGCAGCAGCTTTTCAGATTAAGTTTATTTCAGTGCATTTTCGTGGCTCTTGCTGCAGCGCCTCCTAGCTGCAGCAGCAGCAGCAGCAGCAGCAGCAGCACGCTAAACTGCAGCAGCTACGGACGATCTTAGGCTTTGTGGCTCCCTAAGGACGCAGCAGCAGCAGCAGCAGCTGCTGCTGCTGCTGCTGCATCGCGGCTGTGCCTTAAGTGGCGGTTGAAGAAGTTGCAGCTGCAGAGTTGAGAGCAGCAGCACAGCAGCAGGAGTTGCTTTCTTTGCCACTGAACTGCTGCTGCTGCTGCTGCTGCTGCTGCTGCTTTAGAAGGTGCTGCAGCTGCTTTAGGTCTTGGTGCTGCTGCTGCAGCTTTAGATCCACTTCGCTTTCGCTGCAGCAGCAGCTGCTTGCCTGCTGCTGCAGCTGCTTTAGGTGCTGCTGCTGCTGCAGCTTTAGATCCATTTCGTTTTTGCTGCAGCAGCAGCTGCTTGCCCAGCTGCAGCAGCAGCTGCTTCCCAGCTGCAGCAGCAGCTGCTTGCCAGCTGCAGCAGCAGGTGCTTCCCAGCTGCAGCAGCAGGTGCTTCCCAGCTGCAGCAGCAGCTGCTTCCCAGCTGCAGCAGACCAAAATTTCTGCTGCTGCAGCTGCAGCAGCTTCTGCTGCTGCAGCTCAGCTTTAAGCCATTAGACATTAAAAGATTATTTATTTATTAAATAACTTTCTGATTTTCTAATTCTAAACAATTAAACTTTGCATGCAAACTCAGCTGCAGCAGCAGATTCTCATTTTGCCTTTTTAGCTGCTGCAGGAAAAGTCCCTTTTGGATTTATTTCAGGCTCTCGCCGCCGCTGCTGCTGCTGCTGCTGCTGCTGCTGCGCTGCTGCTGCTGCTGCTGCTGCTGCTGCTGTTGTGTGTGTTGCTGAGGCATTCCTCCATGGAAATTTAGAGTGAAAGAAATGGAATTTAAAATAAAATAAAATTAAAAGAAAAATAAATAAATAAAAACTTCTCGAAGTGGGGAAGGAAGTTCTTGTGAAGTTGCATGCGAGCGGTGAGCGGGCGCGGGTCACTTGTGGCGCTGCTTTCTTGAGAGTTGCGGAGAAAAGAAGAATTTAATTTATTTATTTTGAAATAATTTAATTTATTTTATTTATTTTAATTAATTTAATTTAATTTATTTATTTTGCATTCAAATAAAACCAACACAGCTTCTTTTGTCCACTCGCAACAGCAGAAGAGGCTCGTTCACGTTCCACCGCCGCTCATGCGCAACTCGAGCCAGGCAGTCGTTTCTGCAAACGGAAACCTCTTTGAAATCTTTTTCTTTTTCAATTTTAATTTCAAAATTTGAAAAAAAGATAAAAAAAAGATAAAAATAAACAAAACTTTGGAAGGAAAATAAGTCTGAAGAGCGCAAGTTCCATTCTGATCAGTGCGGAGCAGCGGTTTTCTCTTCTCCAGAGCTGAAGCTGCTGGCGAAACTTCGAACGCTGCTGCTGAAATATCAACTCTTCTTGTTTTTTGTTTTATAATTCCCGAAACTTTAATGAAGAGTTCAAATTTGCATTTTGCAAGTTGAACAGGAGTTCAGTTGGGGTGTACAGACAGTGCAGCGCAGCGCGCGCGAAACGAGTGTGCAGAAGAACACTGTCTGCATTTGAACCGCCGCGGCGTTTTTGTGCTTCACATGGCGTTATAATGCATTTAAAAGCTTTTTTGAAGAATATTTGTTTCCAGGAATGCAGAAAAGGGCGCTTTCCCCGCGGAAAACGGCAGCTTTCCGTCCGCGGGTTGCGGCCGTGGCCGGAAGCGAAGGCCGGCTGCCGCGGGCGTTTCGCGGCGATTTTTTTCCTTTTTTTTTTCCTCGCATGCAGCCCCGCCTTTTCTTTAATGCTGCTGCAGGATCGGAGCCTCTCGGAGCCCCTGGAGGGGGCGTTGGGGGGGCGGCGGCTGGTGCTTCGGAAGCGCTGCCCGGGGCCCAAGTGCTGCAAAGCGGTGGCCCAAGTGGCTCGCTCGCGGGTAAGACTCCGGCCCTTTGCTGCGCAAGTGCATGCGCCAGTTTGCTGCTTCTCAGGGGGCCTCCACAAGGGAATTAGGTGAGCAAAAAAGAATTCAAAAAGTCCCAAAAAGGTCCAATTTGGCCTCAGGAAAGGCCCTGAGGAGCTCCCTGGAGAGAGGCAGCAGCCTCTCGGAGGCCTCCATGAAGGCAGCAGCAGCAGCGGCGCTCGCGGGCCTCTCCGATCGCTCTTTCGCGGAAAAGCTGCTGCAGCAAAAGGGCCAGGCGGACTTATTTGCTGCTGAACAGGTGCGCCAGCAGTCTTAGCAGCAGCAGCAGCAGCAGCAGGCTTTCACGTTTGCTGCAGCAGCAAAAGGCGGCGCGCAAGGAGCTGCAGCAGCTGCTCGCAGCAGACCGCCAGGACGAGGCCAGGGCCCGCGACCTCCAGCAGCAAAGAGTCCACGCTGCAGCAGCAGAGCAGCAGCAGCAGCAGCAACTTGCAGAGACTCTCCACTTCGAAGAAAAGAAAGCAGCAGATGCGCTGCAGCAGGAACTTGCTGCTCTCGACTCCGAGGTTGCAGCCACAGAGACAGACGCAGCAGCAGCAGGCGAAAAGCTCGACGCGCTCATTGCTGCTGCAGCAGCAGCAGCAGCAGCAGCAGGTCCCGAGAAGCCCCAAGAAGCAGCGCAGCAGCTCGAGCAAGCAGCAGCGCATGCAGAAGCAGAAAAGCAGCAGCAGCAAACCGAAGAAGCCACTCGAGTGGCCACAATTGCAAAACACATCAACCAGAAGTCCCAAAAGCTGCTCGAAGACGCAGCAGCAGCAGCAGCAGCAGCAGCAGCAGCAGAGGAGCCTCCTGCTGCGCTGCAGTCCGTGGGCGAAGTCGAAGCAAAAGTGCTGTCAGCAGCACAAGAAAGCGAAGAGGAAGAGCAGCAGCAACTGGAAGCAAAGGAGCAGCAAGAGGCCGAAGCAGAAGAGGACAGCGAAGCAGCAGCAGAAGCAGCAGCAGCAGCAGCAACAGCAGCAACAACAGCAGCAGCAGCAGCAGAGGAGCCCGCAGCAGAGAAACCCGAACCGGAAGAGGCGGAAGAGGAAGCTGCAGCAAACGAGGAAGCGGAGCAGCAAGAAGGCTCTCAGGTGATGAAATTGAATTTAAATGAATTTGAAATAAATTAAAATAAAATTAATTTAATTTAATTTAATTTAATTTAATTTAATTTAATTTAATTTAATTTAATATATTTGCAATTAGGAAGCAGCAAGTCCCGCGGTGACTGCAGCAGCAACCCAAGACTTGCTTTTCCTGCTGCGGCACCTGTCTGCTGCAGCGCCGCTTTCCAGCAGCAAAGGAGCAGCAGGAGTGCAGCAAAGTGGAAACAAAGGCGAAAAAGGAAAAGAAATAAATAAAATAAATAAAATAAATAAAATAAATGAAATAAATGAAATAAATAAAGAATTAGAAAAGGATTTGCTGCCTCTGGAACTCCAAGTTCCGCCCAAGTTGCACAAGGCGGCGGAGCCCGCCGATGCAGAACCTGAACTGGTAAGCTGCCGATCTTGGGCGAAAAAAATGCTGCAGCAAAGATTTTAAGCTTTTAAAATATATTTTTTTGCATTTTAATTCCATTTTTTAATTTATTTTGCACTTTTTTTCCACTTTCGCCTTCCTTAGGACGCCGCAGAGGAAGAACTCCCCGAGTTCTGGTTCGGCAACCGAGGAGCGGAAGAGCAGCAGCAGCAGCAGCAGCAGCAGCAGCAGCAGCAGCAGCAGCAGCAGCAGCAAAAAGGCGCGAAACAAAAACTCTGGTGGCAGTACATGCTGGGCTGAGGCTGCAGCAGCTTCAGATGAACTTCGGGAAGAAGAAAATCAACTTTTGCAAATTCCTGGAAAATTCTTTTTTGAATAATTGAAATAATAAGGCATTTCACCTGCAGCAAAACCCTTATTCAGGAATCCAAAGAAAACAAAAGAATACAAAAATAAATTAATTACTTTTTCGAGTTTAAAGTTGTCAAATCAAAAACACTGACGCATGCAACGCTGCTGCTGCTGCTGCTGCTGCTGCTGCTGCTGCTGCTCTTGCTGCAGCGCCACTTCGCACTTGCAGACTGCTCAGCAGTTCAAAACACAAACAAGCAGCAGCAGCAGCAGCAGCAGCAGCAGCTGCAGCTGCAGCTGCCTCATCTGCAGCAGCAACTGCAGGTGAATGTTGCAGCTGCTGCCTCTGCTGCTGTTGCTGCAACAGCAGCAGCAGCCGCTGCCATTGTTGCTGCTGCCGCTGCTGCTGCTGCAGCCTCTCCAGCAGCAGCACCTGCTGTTGTTGCTGCATCCGCAGCAGCAAAAGCTGCTGCTATTGCTCCTGCTGCCGCTGCTGCTGCACCTGCAGCTGATGCTATTACTGCTGCATCTGCAGCAGCAGCAGCAGCAGCAGCAGCTGCTGCTGCTGCTGCTGCTGCACTAGCGCTTGAGCTCGACTAGCGCTTGAGCTCAATAAGGTGGACTCTGCCGTCTGCGTCTTTGTGGGGAATCCAAGGCCCCGAAATGTGGGTTTTGTTTTGGGTGTACAGACACCTGGACTCTGCTTCGGGCTGCTTCAGAAAGTCCTGCAGCGAAGGAACTGCTGCTGCTGCGCTGCTGCTGCTGCTGCTGCTGCGCTGCTGCTGCTGCAGCATTTGCTGCACCACAGCTCTGTAAGCATAGTCCCCAATCAAAGGCAACTCCTCCGAAAGGTAATGTTTAAAAGCAACTTCTTCTGCTGCTGCCATTTGCACTTCTTCGAGGTCATCCCAGGGCCCCCGGGGGCCCCGGGGCCCCCGGGGCCCCAGCGGGGAGTTCAAAGCAGCAGCTAACTCCCGCAGCAAAGACAAGAAGGTGCAGCAAAGACACCACAGCGGCCGCGGGTCTCCTGTTTGCTGCAGGTGCAGCACGGCCTGTGCAGCAGCAGCAGCAGCAGCAGCAGCAGCAGCAGCAGCAGCAGCAGCAGCAGCAGTTTTTTCGCAGGTTTTGCTTTGGTTTGGTGTTTTACGTTTGCTTGAAACTACTTGCTTCGTATGTTTTACTATTTATTTATTTATTTATTTATTTATTTATTTATTTATTTATTTATTTATTTAATTTATTTATTTATTTATTTTAAAATTAGCCCCACAACAAAACTACTCCCAGCACACACACAAACCCCCAGGGGGCCCCCAAAACCCCCAGGGGGCCCCTGAAACCCTCAAAGGGCCCCTGGGGGCCCCCGGGGGCCCTGAAGCCCCCTGGAGGCCCCTGAGGGGCCCCCTGGGGGCCCCTGGGCCCCCCTGGGCCCCCCTGGGGCCCCCTGGGCCCCCCTGGGGCCCCCTGGGGCCCCCTGGGGCCCCCCGGGGGCCCCCTTTTGAAGAAAGGGAAAGCAGAAAGGGCTGAGGGGGCCCCACCCTGGCGATCTGGGAGGGGTGTAGCTCGAGCTCGACTTCGTGGGCCCAGCGGGCGGGGGGCCCCCCGCGGGCCTCCGGGGGGGCCCCCCAAGAGGGTTTAGTTTGCTGCTGCACTTTGGTCAAGTCCACGCGCAGCCCGCTGCGGTGGACGAGGCTTTGGCGCAGTCTGCGTCTGCGGAGGTCAAGTCCACGCGCAGCCCGCTGCGGTGGACGAGGCTTTGGCGCAGTCTGCGTCTGCGGAGCTGGGGGTCGGGGCCCCCGGGTACCCCGGGGGGGCCCCCGGGGGCCCCCGGGGGCCCCCCGCGGCCTGCGCGAGGGACCGCTGGAGGTCCTTGAGGTCCACTTTGTGCTCGAAGTTGAGGGCCAGCCTGTAGTCCACGCGGCCCCTGCCGGGGGCCTCCTCGGGGGGCCCCCCGGGGGGCCCCAAGTCCTCCGTGGAAGCAAAAGTGTCATCTTTGTCGGCCCCCGAATAAACATTCCACTGCAGCAAGTTCTTCTTGTAGAGTCCGGGGCTCTGCAGCAGCAGGCCCAGGCTCTCCACGCTCACGGGGCCCGCAAACGGGGCCCCCGGGGGCCCCCGGGGGCCCCTCTGCAGCCACTCCGGCCGCGTGCTGAAGCGCGCTGCTGCTTCCAAAGCCGGAATGTGGTAATAGT